CAGTGGCTTGCGCCTGTAATCCCAGCACTTTGGAAGGCAGAGATGAGAGGATTGTCTGAGTCCACGGGTTCGAGATCAGCTTGGGCAACATGGCGAGAACTCGTTTTTACAATAAATAAAAAAATCAGTCAGGCATCGTGGTGCACACCTGTGGTTCCAGCTACTTGGAAGGCTGAGGCAGAAGGATCACCTGAGCCCAGCAAGTCGAGACTGTGGTGAACATGAGCATGCCACTGCACTCCAGCCTGGGTGAGAGTGAGATTCTGACTCAAAAAATAAAAACAAATAGGCTGGGCTCAGTGGCTCAGTCTGTAATCCCAGCACTTTGGGAGCCTGTGGTTTGAGACCCACTTGGGCCAACTTACAATAAATCAAAAATTAGCCGGGCATGGTAGTGCGCGCCTGAGGTTCCAGCTACTTGGAAGGCTGAGGCGGAAGGATCGCCAGAGCCTAGCAGGTCAAGGCTGCGGTGGCCAGGAGTGTGCCATTGCACTCGAGTCTGGGTGACAGAGTGACTCCAATTAAAAAAAAAAAAAAGACATGTTCATAAACCCAAGGCGGTGGTTGGGGCAGGGTGGGCAAGGTCATGGGACAAGGCTGCCCAGTCAGGCTTCTGGATGATACCGTGTCCACAGCAGCATCTCAGCTTCTTGGGTGCCCTGGCAGGGAGAACAGGGCCATGGGGGTGGCTCGTGTGAGCAGGGTGGCTGGGGGAGGAATGACTGGAATCAGCTGTGGATTTTGCTGTCCTATTTGGCTGTTTTGCCAACCTGGATGAAGACGTGGTATGCTTGTCTGACTTGTTCCTAAACTCGGAAGTTCTTGCCCTTCCCTAGGGAAAAGATAGCTGGGGTCAGTAGGGCAGGCTACACCCAGCCACAGGTGGCAGTGTCCCCTCCTGAGGGAAGGCACACCTAGAAAGCACTGAGAGATGGCTAGCTGCCACTGCTAATGGGGACTCCCAGGATGGGGCACAGCCTCTCCTGGGGCCAGCAGACTAGTCAGGGATGCCCTACACCTGGGGATCCTTGGAAGGGCCCCGGGGTGTGTGGCACATGGGGCTTTGAGCTTTTTCCTCATAGTTTTGGCTAAGGGCAGCTTTGAATGCACAGTGACCCCTGCTGGCCCCTCGCAGCCTCTCCGAAGAGAAACTCCAAGCTCTTCCAAGGGAAAACCCAGGTCTAAGGACATGGCCCTCATGGGGCCTTCAAGTCAGGCATTTTCCAAAGTGGGTGCATGAAATGCCAAGTCTTGATCTATCACAGAAACAATAACTGAGTACCACACTTTCTCACTCATAATTGGACCATGAACATTTACCCTAATACTCAAGAAAGGGATTGGCAATAGCTGGAAACCAGGGGATGGAGAGGAACATGGGGTGGGGTGTAATGTGGACAAATGTCAATAAGGGTACCTGATCGCAAACCAGGCGAAGTGGGGCCCAAACTTTACCTATATGATGACCACTTGTATATCTAAACCTAATTGTATCCATCTTTAAAATAAAAAAAATAAAAATTTTACTATTAAGTAAAAAAAAAAAAAAAGAAATGTCCAGTCTCCCACTTTAAGCTGGGCCCGGAGTTCCTGGGAGTCAGCCTCCTGCCAAGGGTGAGTTGAGGCAGGAACCTACTGTCCTTCCCCACAAGCTCTGCTGGAAATGGGCCTGCCCAAGGAAAGGAGGCCGAGGGTCCTCAGAGCAAGGTCCTTAGCTATTTTTGGTCAACCTGACGTACCACACCACCTGCAATCAGCAGAGGCACCAAGGCCTGCAGCTCAAGGGGACTATCAGGACCTGCCCAATGCCAGGCCAACCTGACCTCATGCAAGGGGGTACCAAACCTGATTCCAACACTCCTAGTCTCCACACCCACAAGCCCCTTTTGCCACTTTGCCCAGGCCCAAAGGGGTTGCAGAGGAACAGCTGACACCCTAACCCTGCAGGTACAAAGAACATCTGCCCCCTACTCCCTCAGAGGTCCCTGGCACCCCACTGGGCTGGGGTTCCAGGTAACTGCCTCACCCCTCCCCCTGGCCTGAGGTGGGGTTGCTCTGCTGGCTCCAAGGCTGCCTGTTAGGCCAGTGCTGCATTTCATATTGCTTTAAAAATGGCTGACATTGGCTGGGCATGGTAGCTCACACCTGTGATCCCAGCACTTTGGGAGGCAGAGGGGAGAGGATGGCTTGAGCCCAGGGGTTCGAGATCAGCCTGGGCAACTTGGTGAGACCTCACCTCTACAATAAATCAAAAAACTAGCCAGGTGTGGTGGCGTATGCCTGAAATTCCAGCTTCTTGGAAGGCTGAGGCAGAAGGATCACCTGAGGCCAGCAGGTTGAGGTTGCAGTAGCTGTGAGCGTGCCACTGCACTCCAGCCTGGGTGACAGAGAGACTTCAACTCAAAAAAAAGCCGTTATTTTTGTTTAAGTTGTTTTGTTTTTTGAGTCTCACTCTGTCACCCAGACTGGAGTGCAGTGGCATGCTCCTGGCCATTGCAGCCTCGACCTGCTCGGCTCCAGCAATCCTTCTGCCTCAGCCTTCCAAGTAGCCGGAACTACAGACGCGTGCTACCATGCCTGGCTAATTTTTGATTTGTTGTAGAGAAGAGCTCTCACCAAGTTTCCCAGGTGGGTCTCAAACCTGCGCACTCAGGCAATCCACTCACCTTGGCCTCACAAAGTGCTGGGATTACAGGCTGAGCCACTGAGCCTGGACAAAACGTCGACATTTAAAACAGAGATTTCCCACATAAATCCCATCCCTTTAAGCAGAACAGAGGACTGTCCTGCCCAGATCCTCCACCCACTGCCACACAGGCCCTATGTGCCTGTATGGATTCTACCTGCAGTGGGGTCTTAGGACAGGCCCTGCACACAGGGACTTGACAAATGCCTGCAGACCCTCAGACATTCCGCTAGACGGGCAGCAATGAGTCTGGGTGACACCCAGGCCACACCATTCCAGCCCCGGCCCAGCACTGGCATCCTGAAAGCCACCCCAGTGCACAGTACTCAGAACACATAGGACTGCACAGTGTATTTCTCTCAGTGGCCACCAGAGGGGCACACAACTCCATAGCATGTCCTAGAATCAGCTCCCGGTGCCTTCACACAGGCAGCAGCGGCCCTCCCCCTGCCTCTGTCACAGTAGGTCCATGAAGCCCCTTGAGAGGGACTCAGCCTCTTGGTGCCAGTAGTTCTCACTCCCCCTCCCGCTGGTCCAGGTGCCCGGTGCGGGGGTGGAGAGGCAGGCATGGGCGGGGCCTCGCCCAGGGTCCCAGGGACCCCTGAACACAAGTCCTCTGAGCAAAAGGCTACTCCAGAACCACGGTGCCGCCCACCGCCTCCAGGGCTGTCTTGATTTTCTCAGCCTCAGCTTTGACAACATTGGCTTTGATTTCCTGGGGCAGGGATTCCACCAGCTTCTTCGCCTGTCAGAGAGAACAAAGACAGAAGTTTGGGGGTCCTGGGCTGCTATCACCAAACCTGCCCAGGAAGGGACTGGCAATGGAGTACCATGAGCAGGAGACACTAGGGGAGGAAGGGACCCTAGGGCACCGGCCCTACCTGGACGAGGTTTATGCCCTGGATGTAGTTCTTGATTTCCTTGATCAGCTTCACTTTGTCCACAGGATTTGCCTCTGTCAGGCGGACAGTAAAATGTGTCCGTTCTTTTTGTTTGGGGATATCTTCCTCTGCCACCTTTGGAAGCGGGAAAGAACAGGGGTTGAGAAACAGTTAGGAAAGGGTGAGTGGGGGCCGGGCTTGGTGGCTCAGCCTGTAGTCCCAGCACTTTGGGAGGCCAAGGTGAGTGGATTGCCTGAGCCTGTGGGTTCGAGACCAGCCTGGGCAACTTGGTGAGACCTTGTCTCTACAATAAATCAAAAATTAGCCAGGCGTGGTAGCACACGACTGTAGTTCCAGCTATTTGGAAGGCTGAGGCAGAAGGATTGCCGAAGCCCAGTAGGCCGACAGTGGGGTGGCTGTGAATGTGCCACTGCACTCCAGCCTGGGCAACAGAGTAAGACTCCAATTCAAAAAAGGAAACAGGCCGGGCTCAGTGGCTCAGCCTGTAATCCCAGCGCTTTGGAAGACCGAGGTGAGTGGATTGCCTGAGCCCGTGGGTTTGAGACCCGCCTGGGCAACTTGGC